GGATATATACCACGCATGATAAGCAACACACAGGATATATACCACACATGAGAAACAACACACAGGATATATACCACACATGAGAAACAACACACAGGATATACACTACACATTATAAGCAACACACATGATATATACCACATATGATGTACGCCACACATGAGAACCAACACACAGGATATATACCACGCATGATAAGCAACACACAGGATATATACCACACATGAGAAACAACACACAGGATATATACCACACATGAGAAACAACACACAGGATATACACTACACATTATAAGCAACACACATGATATATACCACATATGATGTACGCCACACATGAGAACCAACACACAGGATATATACCACACATGATAAGCATGACAACAGGATATATACCACACATGAGAAACAACACACAGGATATACACCACACATGAGAAACAACACACAGGAAATATACCACACATTATAAGCAACACACAGGATATATACCACACATGATTAACAACACACAGAATATATACCACACATGATGTACGCCACACATGAGAACCAACACACAGGATATACACCACACATTATAAGCAACACACAGGATATATACCACACATTATAAACAACACACAGGATATATACCACACATGAGAAACAACACACAGGATATATACCACACATGAGAAACAACACACAGGATATACACCACGCATGAGAAACACCACACAGGATATATACCACACATTATAAACAACACACAGGATATATACCACACATTATTCACAACACACAGGATATACATCACACATGAGAAACAACACACAGGATATATACCACACATGAGAAACAACACACAGGATATACACCGCGCATGAGAAACACCACACAGGATATATACCACACATTATAAACAACACACAGGATATATACCACACATTATTCACAACACACAGGATATACATCACACATGAGAAACAACACACAGGATATATACCACACATGAGAAACAACACACAGGATATACACCACACATGAGAAACACCACACAGGATATATACCACACAATATAAATAGCACAGAAGATATATACCACACATGATAAACAAAACATAGGATATATACCACACATGATAAACAACATACAGGATATATACCACACATGATAAACATCACACAGGATATACACCCTATATTATATATATTGCCGTTGTAATTTGCTTTAGCTTACAAATGTCAATATTCATATACAAAAAGTCCTTTGGTTTAGATGTCAGCTATTGTGTATTGTATGTGTTAAGGAAAAAAAGAATTTTATTCAGACACACAAGTTTCAACCTATTTTAAGTAAAACGGCTGTGTGCAGAGAATTGGATTTTCTGCTTTATATACGACTGTAAATTTAACCTCATACTTTAAGTCTGTCTTTGACTCTTAATGGTTGAGAGTAACATGTTTTATACACCAGTTCCCGTGTGTCTGCCTTAGAGATGTACACACAGGCTGCCACGACGAGACAATACATGTTATTAGCCGGTAATGATGTAGTGTCCAGATACTCGGTCTGTCATTAGTAGATAGTCCATGTGAAGGTAATCACAGTGGGGCTGTGCGAGTTTTATAGGTGTTGTGCGGGTGCGCTACATTGTATATTGCTCAAGTACAACGCTCATTAATAGGCATTGGAAGATGAACAGTACTCCTGGCACAAAGCAGGCAACGCACGGCAGCGTCAAGGGACATTAGTTGTTGTCACTGTGCTGCTGACTATTGATGAACAATTGTGATTTGTGGGAGATAAGTGCACTATTAAAACTTTAATATTGACAGTAATAATATTGACGGTTATAGGTTTCAGGAACCTGAACTAGAGATTTGTAATTAAGTCCTACTTGTAGGCTGTAGAAGTCGTCCGTGTGTAATACGTCGTATAAATAGCTTAAAGAAAACGTGAAAAACGTCTTTTCTCTTACAATACGTTTTGATATATGTTTAAACGTTATGCCTCTCAGAAATAGTACCTCGATGACATGTTGGATGTCCCGTTGTATAACGGCAGACTGTATACTTGACAGTTTGCCCCTGGAAAACCAGTGGTTGATACAAATGTAGCTGTACACATGTCTTAGCTTGTGAATTACCCACAAGTTACTTCCTAGGACGTGACACCTTCGTTACCCTCCCAGTATCACCCCTGCCGCCATGGTATTTAGAAAAGCTTTTACGACTAGTTTATTACATACCAGATGAAAGTACGTTTGTTTATTGACTCAAACTGGATTGATATTACAGACTAAGGAAAAGCATCTTCCCCTTACACCCTCCCTTTAAATGTGAAATGTGAAATGTTACATGTATTTGAGTCAAAGCCACACGTTTGTCACATGAAATTGAAAACACAACCTGCTAAGCTGTTTGTCGAGTGTCTTTATCTGAAGCTGTCACTACCTTCTGGCCATGAGATGGTTATCAAGGAGGAGGCTTTAAGTTAAAGGTGAGTGGGGTAACCACATCAGATTCGGAGGGGATAGTGGATCCTAATTTGAAGTTCAAGTGCGAAAATGGCATGTCAGGTGCAAGAAATGTTTGAGATTCAACACCGCAGATGAACCTCTGAACCTTTTATAAAAAATGTAAAATAGGAACTGTAGCTACTGGTAGGGAAATGGACTGACCAGATCATATAGTTAACATGTCCATCCATCAGCTGTTAAAATTGTGCTCTGTGAGACTGTAGAAAACATTTAATGTCAACAAACAAAACCAACGACTCAATTTGTTTAGAGAGAGTGGACAAAGAGGATGCTGAGATTTCAAATGCAGGGAGAGAAAGTTGATAATGTGCTTGCTCTCAGACCAGAGGGGTTTCAAGAACCTGTATAAATTATGCCATTGTATCGATACACATCCCTTCCAAGTTGGAGACAGGCCGTTTACATCCACCAAATGTGCTGAGGTTAAGAAACACATTGATTCAACGTTGAGCAAGGTTCATCGTGTAAGTTCTTGGTCAGCGCCAATTGTGCTTGCAATAAAAAGAATGTGTCTAAAAGGAGATTTTGCGTGGAGTATCGCCGTTTGATTACATGATACAATTTTATTGCTTGACTGGAAGCTAATTCTATACCATTTTGAACATGTATTGGCAGGTGAAAGTAAGCCCAGAAGATAAAGAACAGACGGCATTTACCACACCATTTTGGCTTATTAAATTTGAATCAATGCTTTTGGATTAACAGGAGCAACAAGTGAGGTGACGTGAGGTAAGGTGAAAGGGGTTTAATGTCGCGTTCAAGATTATTACACTTATATAGTACCATCTTTTAACGTCTTGTGGTATGAAGCGTTCGGGGATCGAACCACGGACCTTCTGCTCTCTGAGCAGACGATTTACCACACTCAGGAGCACCAACCACATTCCAGCGACTCTTGGAAATAGTATTCCCTGGCGTGCAATGGGAGGTGTGCTTAGTAATTTTCAGTGGAAATGTGGAGGAACACAATTCTCACCCCATAACAGTGCAGGCAAGGCTCCAATAAAAACCAAAATAATGTCATTTCTTAAACGAAATGTCTCTACCCTTCTCTTGTCTGATAAAGAGAACGGTTAGAGACTGATCCACACACAACAAAAGCTGTGTGAGATCGAGCGACACCCACTAACGCCATTGAAGCGAAACAATTCTTAGGATTTGCTTCACTCAACAGACTGATATTACTACTGCACTTCACAAGCCAACCAAGAAGCAGTCGTTGTTCAAGTAGGATTTCGATGCTTTCAAACTGCTGAAAGATTAACTAATGTCTGCGCCAATAATAGCATGCTCACACTTTGAGTATCCATCTACTTTAGATACAGATGCCTCAGATATTGGCATAGTATGTGTCATATCTCAGGTTAAGGTTCTACTTCAGCAGATCACTTTCAAAATCTGGAAAGAACTGTGTCATCCATAGGGAACCTTTGGCGCTAGTTGCTTCCATCCATCATTTTAGAAAATTCTTACATGGAAATACATTTAAAGTGAGGGCTGATCATAAAACTTTAAAATGGCTTCAACATTTTAAAAAACTGGAAAATCAACTAACTCTTTGGTTGACTCGTCTCTCAGAGTATTAGTTTGAAACTTAACACAGACCAGAACTCAAATGATTCCATGCAAGCAGAGTGCTAAAAAGAAGTCAACATATATACATTTCAACAAATTAAACATCAGTAAGAAAAGTAGTTGGATCAGTGAACTGAATCACAAGATGTTTTTTGAGAAAGAAACATCTTTTGAATTCTGGGCATTGTGGAAAAAAGAAACAAATCTTCAAATACAGCACCATGTTCTCAATCTGTATTTTGAAAAGTATTATGAAATACTAGGTAAGGTGAAATGGGGTTTAACGTCGCGTCCAAGATTATTGCACTTATATAGCGACGTGCATGTACGTGTGTGTGTTTGTGTGGCTGCTTGTACTAGTCCGGACTGATGCCGATTTAAAGTGCTAGCACACTGAGATACCATGCCTCAGTTTAACATGAATACCCCACTGAGACACGGTATACTGACTCCGAGCCGACCAGTCCTTGTTTTAGCCCCTTAATGCCGAGCGCCATACAGGGTATCCATCTTTTAACGTCTTTTGGTATGACGCGGTCGGGGATCGAACCCCGGACCTTCCGCTCTCCGGGCGGCGCTCTACCACTAGACCACAGAGGCGGTTTATGAAATACTACTGGTAGTGCTTAGGTCTATGGTGGAACACCAAGTTCCAGCCAGGCTGCTTACACACGCTTTACATGAAAAGCATTTATAAAAACGTAATACGGAACTCTCAATATTTATGCATAACTCCTCCCACTGAATCCAAAACGAGGCCGACGAACTACCAACTTTGATGATTAATAGTTTGTGTGTAGCATTGAAATTAAATCTAGTGACTAGTACTGTGTTGATCGAAGTACATTCTTAATAATGTGGTTGACGTGCATTTATTCCAATTTCAGATAACAAAATGCACTGTCGTTTGTGGCAAACACTTCAGAGAGGAGGAGAAAAGAAAAACAATCTGTAAAACACTCTTGACACCAGGTATTTCTTTTAATGTTAATCTTAATTACCATCTAATTTAATTTATAGGCTAGATCTATGTGTGTTATGTTTCCGAAGTTGTGTCTGTTTCAAATATATATATATTAATGATTTAATCACAATGAAATTAATGTTTCCTTTTAACAACATGCACATATGAATTTGTTTTATATGTTTGCACGGTATAAGATTTTCACACCTGCAATCCAGCCAGTCCAGGAAACGTTCAGCAGAAGTCCTCACAGATGGGTAATTAAAATGATTCTCTTTATAAAAAAGTAAAATTGATCACTTTTTGTTGATTTATAATGAATATAATTATATTGATATATATAATATAACCTTCCCATGAAACTCCAAACATCTTCAACAGAAATATTGTTGTTCTAATTTAATGGAGAAAACAAAATACATGTCAGTCATGAGGTGTGTGTTGAAAACATAAATGATATTTATGAATAATATTACCAATCATGTTGAAATTACAGGCAAAACATACCAATGGGCACAGATGAAGCAGCAGATGATGTTGACCAGGTTGATCAGCTTGATGAACTACACAGAAAACTCAGAAATGATCGCCTCCCTCAGTATCCATGTTGAGCGAACCATCCGCAGAGTAAAGGAAAATCATATATTTGACAGCATTATTCCCCTTAATCGTGTTGGATCCATCAACCAGCTTTGGACAGTAGCTGCTGTTCTTACCAACTACGAAGGTCCACTTATACAAGATAGGTTAAAATAGTATCAGTTGCTACTTGTATACAGCACCATAAAACTGTAAAATAGCTACAAAGTCCGAATTAAAAGAATTTTTTTTATTATATTATTGTTATTTCAAAATACAATGTATTGTGTATATAATTCAAGAAAGTTTGTACATGTCTCAAACAGTGTTAGCAGTTAAAATAGCACACTGTTCACCATAATGAAAGATCCATGAAGATCCGGGTTAGTATAGGTCTTCAGTAACCCGTGCTTGCTGATTGGGAGGTCAGACTCGCTGACTTGGGTGATGCATGTCATTGTATCCCAATTGCATAGATCGATGATTATGATTTCAATAACTGGATTGTCTGGGCTGGACTTGATTATTATGAGACCGCCGTCATATAGCTGGAATATTGCTGAGTGTGGTGTTAAACAACAAACGAACCATAATCAAAATTTGGTTCAAATCTGGACAAGCTGGAATGGTATTGTTACTGACATGACAAATATGAGGTTACTGTGTTGTACACTCCTGACTTCTGCTTCAATAAATTTAATTACTTCTTTATTTTCAGTAGTTATTGGAAATATTATTATGGATAGATACAAGTATCTACAATAGATCAGTATCCTTATGTCATTATAAATGTCAACCCGTGAAGATACGTGGTAAAAAAATAGGTCTTCAGCAACAATGCTTGCCGTTAAAGGTGACTATGCTTGTTGCAAGAGGCGACTAACGGGATAGGGTGGTCAGACTCACTGACTTGGTTGATGCATGTCATCAATCCCAATTGTGTGGATCACTGGATTGTCTAGTCCAGACTATTGTCTACAGACCACCATCATATAGCTGGAATATTGCTGAGTGCTGCATTAAACAACAAACAAACAAACATCATAAATGTCAGTACCCCTGTAATTATTAGACCCTTGGACCATAATTTTAGACCACAGAAGTGGAGAAAGTTTCTATACCAGTATAACTCTGACAGATACAAAAAAAGTAATTCAACTTGCAACTGTTGATGAACATGTTGAATACATGACAAGTATATATAACATGAATATTCCACATGAGCTATCAAGGGAAAATCAGATTGGATCATCTGTCTTAGATCCTTATTGTTTTGAATACACACACAAAGTTTGTGTTTCATAGAAAATATTTTCTGCAAAAAGTAAATACATAGTGTAAGCCATCCCTCTACATTTTTGTGATAATATTTGGATGATAATCTGGTCATTATATCAAAATCATTGTGGTCTAATGATCATGATGAAAACAAACTTTATGTTGACTGACCTCATCTTGTTCTTTATGTTTCAATTTTATGGTGATTCTAGTATTACTATTGGAAATTGTAAAATAGCTGCAGAGGAAAGATAATTTATTATTCCTTGTTAATTTTGTATAAATTAATTAAGGTAATTAAAAAAAATGCATCTAAGTTAGCTTGAAGTTTACACCACATTTCAGAATTAAATATTACTCTTTCCAAATGGGTTTCCTGCTGAGACCAAACAAAAAAGTCACACCATGTTAAACCTGAAACAGCAAATTTCATTTGAACCTGAAAATAATGGCTATGATTTTCCTTAAGGGACAACACAACACCCTTCCTCAGCAGGTATGCTTCATTAGTTAAATTTGGAGCTACAACACTTTTAATCTCTAAGAGACCAAAAGGAGGGTCAGCACTTGGGTCGTAAACTTTCCTGTCAGGGGATGCGGCAAGCCAGTAGCAATGAGGATTCACTATAACACCACATGGGTAGATATTTATTTCCTTATTCTTGAGAGAACTATAGGCTTGGGCAGCAACAGGCTCTTTGTCAGGTCCAAATTGAAGATTGGTACCACGTCTAGGTCGGGTAGTCTTCAGGTGCTCAGAAAACGATTCTCGATCTGCAATGGTAATGTTACAAAAATGAATTATCTCACATAGAATGTGAAATCAACTTAATAATATTGTACAGTTTAACTTCAAACTCTATTGTAGACATTTTCTGTAACTCATTTGAAATGAAACTATGGCAGAGAAAAAATTGGTCAACAATTGTTTTGTCAATAAAACACAATTAAGGGATACTTTACCAAATTAGATTTATGTGGTACAAATTCACTTTACAAAACTGAACACACCATGCTTTTTGAAGATTTCTCCTGCATGTGAAGCGGTGACTCTGTTTCTCCTCATTGCATGCCACTTTGGTTCATTGGACTGGAGGCGGTTGCTCAGTTCAATCTCTGTTGACTCATCCTGTGTCACACTCAAAGCAGATAGAGATACATACTGACTCTCCAACAGCACCCTGTTATAGGTTGGCATCATGTGGTCAGATAAGGGTAAATCAGGAAAAGGAATAGGGTTGAATATGTTCATAACAAAATCACTGTGAAGTTGCTGTTGATAACTCAAAGGACTGCCTTTAGGAAAGGAAACAAGATCCGTCGCTACTGTTGGTTGATGACAAGGAAACTCAGGAAGAACTGTCTATAATGAAATAGAACTATCAAGAGATAGCAACGATGATGCATGCTCTGCAAGGTCCGGCAAAGGTGTTCGCAATGGGTTGTAGAGGGTAGACGTCAATGGCCTTGACTCTTCTTTCCTAGTCTTGCCTTTCACCTGCAGGGAATGTACCGTCTGGCCTCTGATCTTGTCGCCTCGTGGGATGTGCCAAGTCTGGGGTAGTGATGTCTTTGCTACATCTGCTGGAACTGACTCTCTTCCTAAAATCTTCTAGTTAGCCAGTTGATACAGCAGGCCCACAACATGACCACAGGATCCACTCTGTCCAATAGTACAGGAACAGCATGCCTTGAGATCTTTCCCACTGTTGGCATCATCAGGAAGGAATACATGAACAAATATTTAAATAGTTTGTTTTAAACTGAAGTAAATACATGATTTGCAGAGAAAAACTTAATCTTGCACAGTGTTACACTTTATTGTTAAGGAGACCTAACATAATTCACAGAGGAAAAAACATACCATAAACATTGATTCTGTATACATGATACGATCCCTGTATCTATGTGTGGTAAGTAATGATGGTATTAATATTTTATTTAAGGGGTGCCAATATAGAGCATTCCAAATTATCGATCATGAATATGATGATTCAGCACATACCTTGTTTGCCAAATAGATAAACACAAATCTGGTGATAATTTTTGTCTTAGCTCAAGTGAGTGGGAAGACTCATTCTTCCTCTGAGAGTGGTAGCATCTGGCAGTGATCCGAGATGATCCATCATCCAGCTTGAAGGCTTAAATACATACATTTTAATTACTTATGAGGAACATCACTTGAAAGTAGCATGATTTAAATATTATTGCAATCACTTAATAAGATATCTATAGTCCTATATGTACATTTCATATATTTAAAAAGAAATATATGGCACTAAATTTACACCACATATCACGGTCCATGGACTTAATGTACATAATCTTGACTGATAACATAAGTGCTATTTTCCCCTCTTATTGTGATAGCCTTTTTTTATCATGGTGTCTGAGATTGTCATGCTTGCATGAACTTTTTTCCGGATGGGGACTGACAAGTTGTCTAGGCATATTACGGTGCATCTGCCCCCTTCCCAAAGCTTTCCTTTCTTTGGCCTATTAGGCTACTGATTACTAGCTGATTGTGTTCAAAGTTACTTGTAACCGAGGTTTGCCCCTGCCTCTGTGATACAAGAGATACATTTTGATGACATCGGTAAACTTTGAACGAAATGATCAGTTAAAATATTACTTGAATACACAAATAGCTCAGGGGCATCACTCTGATTTCGTCGTGTTTACAGTGAACCCAAAGTCGCATATGATGGATCTTTCATAAAATTCGATGTTCCTATACGTAGAATATAAGTTTAAGGATATTTAATCGAATCTAGTGAGTCAGAAATAATTGTCGATCTGTTTTAAGGTGAAATATAAATAGCTGTCGAATATTGCCTAACCCATCCCTGTCATTCGCGATTTAACAGGTTGATTTCAGAATAATACTCACTGCGAATGGTATGCACATAGCTCCAACTGTAGTACATAAAACCAGGTGTCTTTTTCCCGAACTGGTACTGTTTCTTTCGGCGTATTTCTCCACGAAGGAGAACATCAGCTTTGGAAGATGCCGTAAATCGTTCATGTCTGATTGCGAGCGTGCCATATTTTGAACTATTAACTTCCGTGTACCCGCCGAGTCAACCTCGTTTTCGATTCCCTCATGAATATTCATGAGGGAATATTAAGAATCCCGTATTGACCTTTATCACACTTTCGCCATCTTGGATCGAAAACGAAGCTTGGAGAGCATAGCACCATGCAGTGTGAGTCGCATCAGCTCTTAGGGAACATACAGCATGTTGTGCATTTCACTGATGGACATTTCAAACAAACAAAAAATGGTATCCTCTGTACCTTATACAGAAGATATTTCACATTTAATCATGAGGTCCAACTAAAATATGCCTGTAATACACTGGAATTAGCATTTTGCTGTCAGGATCCCGGAAGTAAATCGAAAGGTGCATTTCGAGATACGTATTTCAGAAATAGATTGTTTTATCATAACCTCGACGGCATATAGGTACAATGTGACAGTACATTCAATCAATGACAGAAGTTTTGTATCGTAAATGAACCGCATAAGATGAAACACGTTAGTGTACTTTTGCAAATTTGCTCAGTCAATGTGTGGCTTGGCGAACTCGAGATCGTCTATCATGTTTATTTCACGTTTCATAGCGGTGTTTGCTGCACAACGCACTATCGTTTTGCTATGTGTCCACTTGACAAAAGGCACTTTTTCTGCTATGATTTTCATCTGAA